ACACACACACACACACACACACTCTTGCCGAACTGAGAGGCTTCTTCTCAACTAATGCAAAAAGGTGAGGTCTTCTTGCCTCAAACAATAAATGTAACTTGAATCAGAGATTGTTGCCAATAGGTTTGTTCAGAGTTGTTTATGGTTTAGGGGAACTTTGGGAGCTTGCTGCATTATAGATACTAGATCCGGCGGGCCGGCTGCAGCGGGCAAGGGTGCCTTGAACTTGGTGGATTCCGTATCTATAATCAGAGATCACAGTTCGAGCTCTGTGATCCGTTGCGGCTTCAACTAACGGCCTTGCTTGGGTATTCCGCGGATAGGTGCCTTGAACTTCGTGGATTCGACGACGTGGTTTGTGGACGTGGTGCGTGGGTGCTAGCACGTGAACTTCGTGCATTCGTGAATTGGGAGTTGGTGCTCTGTGCTCTCTTCCTCTCTCCCTGTCTTCTCTGTGCTCTGTGGTGCGGGAGTGTGGTGTTTCCGTGCTCTGTGGATCGCGCGTGGTTTGTGGCCGTGGTGCATGAGTGCTAGCACGTCAACTTGGTGCATTCGTGAAGCGGGACGTGGTGCATTCCTGATTTGGGAGTTGGTGCTCGGTGCTGTCGTCACCTCTCCCTCTCTCTTCTCTGTGGTACGTGGTACGGGAGGTTGGTGCTTCCCTATCATGAATCCGTTCTCCGTGGATCGGTGATTTGGTGAATTGGTGAACTTGGTGGATTCCGTGGATCGGTGCCGTGAACTCGGTGGATTTAGCGACGTGGTGTGTGGACGTGGTGCATCTGTGAACTTGGTGCTGCCGTGGACTGGGTGGATTCCGTGGATCGAGCGTGGTTTGTGGACGTGGTGCATGAGTGCTAGCACGTAGCACCTACGCCCTCCCTCCCTCTTCTCTCTCTGCTTCCTCGTGCGACGCACTACGTGAACTTGGTGGTCGATTCGTGAATCGGGAGCTTGGAGCTTGCTGCTTCGGGAATCCGTGCTTTGTGAATTGGTGATTTGGGGAATTGGTGAATTGGTGCATTTGTGCGTTGGTGGTCCGATGAATTGGTGAATTGGTAAATTGGCGAATTGGAGGATTGTTGGTGGATTGGTGCCCCGTGCTTCGTGAGTTTGTGCGTAGACGTGGATTCTGCTACGTTGTTGGTTGGAGCCTTCACCATCATTGCTGACTCGAGTGAGTGTTTCGACCTCACCTTCAACCCACTCCCAACCATTTCCTTTGCTTTTCACTGATTCTTATCATGCGTGGATGCTAATGCTTTCCTTTGCTTTACGTCTGGAAAACGGAGGAAAATGGAGGGGAAAGAGGGGGCAAAAGGAGGGAGACGGCGGGGAAAACGGAGGGGATATGTTTCTGTTTTTTGGGAAGGAGGAGAGGAGGGTGAGGTGGGAAAACGGAGGGTAACGGGGGAAATAGGCGTGGGAAACGGATGGGAAATGGAGGAAAACGGCGGGAAACGGAGGAGAAATGAGGCCGGGGGAAACGGAGGAAACGAGGGGAAACGGAAGTCTTTCAAATCCAATATTCCCCAGGCCTCATTTCTCCTCCGTTTCCCGCCGTTTTCCGCCGTTTCCCATCCGGTTTCCATGCGGCTTTCCCTCGTTACCCTCCGTTTTCCCACGTCACCCTCCTCTCCTCCTTCCCAAAAAACACATACATATCCCCTCCGTTTTCCCCGCCGTCTCCTTCCGTTGCCCCCCTCTTTCCCCTCCGTTTGCCAGACGTCAAGCAAAGGAAAGGATTAGCATCCACGAATGATAAGAATTAGTGGAAAGCAAAGGAAATGGTTGGGAGTGGGTTCGAGGTGAGATCGAAACACTTGCTCGAGTCAGTAATGATGGCGAAGGCTCCAACCAACAACGTAGCAGAATCCACGTCGACGCACGAACCCAAGAAGTGCGGAGCACCAATCCACCAACAATCCTCCAATGCGCCAATTTACCAATTCACCAATTCATCGGAACACCAACGCACGAATGCACCAATTCACGAAGCATGGATTCCCGAAGCAGCAAGCTCCAAGCTCCCGATTCACGAATCGACCACCAAGTTCACCTTTTTCTTACTCAAGTCAGCTTTGATGGCTAAGGCTCCAACCAACAATGTAGCAGAATTCACGTCGAAGCACGAACTCACGAAGCACGGAGCACCAATCCACCAACCATCCTCCAATTCGCCAAATTTACCAATTCACCGGACCACCAACACACGAATGCACCAATTCACCAAATCACCAATTCACGAATAATGGATTCCCGAAGCAGCAAGCTCGAAGCTCCCGTTTCACGAATCGACCACCAAGTCCACGTAGTGCGTCGCACGAAGAGCAGAGAGAGGAGAGAGAGGGAGGGAGTAGGTGCTACGTGCTAGCACTCATGCACCACGTCCACAAACCACGCCCGATCCGCGGAATCCACCCAGTCCACGGCAGCACAAAGTTCATAGATGCACTACGTCCACACACCACGTCGTTAAATCCACCAAGTTCACGACGCCGATCCACGTAATCCACCAAGTTCCCCTAAACCATTATAGATACAGGATCTGGCGGGCCGGCTGCAGCGGGCTTGGGTGTACTAATGTTCAAGGGACTGCATGCACCATGGGGAAGAGGGACATAATGTTGCTGGAAAATATACAACCATCTGACATAACAGTACATTGCCAAATCTGGGCAGGATTGATCTCCGTTTCGTATGGTAGAAGTCTAGTGGCACGATTTCTCGAAGTAAGACTTACTTAGCCTTCACCCTTCGGCCCTTTTTTTCAAAGACGCTCATAACGCAACGAGCTGAAGGCTCTCACGAGCCGGCTTTTCTGGGGGTTTCTTATCAGCTCCTCCAGGCTCTCCCAGCTTGTGGTGTCCGAATAGCGGCAAACAATACTTGCAGACGCGCATATCACAAATAAGATAGACCACAATGACAAACCTTGTTTGCAACAGGCAGGAGCACAATTTCTCAGTTCATGAAATCTCCTTTCTCATCCCCATTGCATGAGGGTATGGATCTTGGTTGTTAAACACTGTATGGACTCCACCACAATTCGTTTGTGTGTGTGTGTGTGTGTGTGTGTGTGTGTGTGTGTGTGTTTGTGTGTGTGTGTGTGTGTGTGTGTGCGTGTGTGTGTTATAAAATATCTCTTGCACGCACCGGGGAGAGAGAGAGAGAGAGAGAGAGAGAGAGAGAGAGAGAGAGAGAGAGAGA